GCAAACTTCTACACGTGCTTTTAGTAGGTACACCCACGCTTCAGGTCTCACGTGACTTAGTTCTACGCGGTCATATTCCAGCTAGCATAGTGCAGTTCGACACTCTCTCTAACTATCATCTACTCTTGTTAACATTCATGACAGATGTACATGTACAAATATATTTAAAATGTAAGAGTTAGAACGATCAAAATAACAGAACCTTCTAATTACTTTGACAGATTTTAACTCTCTCGTTATTGGAAGGTGCGCAGGTTAGCTTGTCACTAAACCACACCCACTTCAAGCCAAGGACCACACCCACTAAGGAATGTGATCAAGACGACACTTGAAATCAAGGTTGTCGTGACCACACCCACAAAGAGGTGGGATCCAGGACTTGAAGAGAGTGTGGCGACAAGCTAAAGCATCTGCCTTCCGTAAAATACATGTACATGCAAATTTACAAGTACATGAGCATGTAAGCATAATACATGTACATGTATGTACAGCACAGTATGATTGAAGCTGGTTTTTAATAGATGGAAGTTGTTTTCATGTACATGTACATGTACACGTAGGCGTATATTGAACAATGTACATTTAAAAGAGCATGTGGACAGTAGCCTACATGTACATGTACAGTATAGTACTATTGAAGCTGATTTATAATAGATTGAAGCTGTTTTTATGTACAGTACATGTTTTTTTAAGTCATAACTAAACTCTTAATAAAAATGCATATACAGTAAACACATACATGTTACATGTATATGCGTCTGAGTTAATAATGGGTGCATGTAAGTCACATATGACTTCATTACATGTACATGTAGATCCTAATTAAACTTTGTCAGTCAAATCTACATGTACATGTATGGGGATTCTATTTAACAATTTTACTCTCCACATTCTATTAGTACATGCTCAGCTCTCACTTCCAAACAGTAGTTGTAGTCCCATCCCTTTGTCTTCTTTCTTTTCTTTCTTTGCAGACGATGCTTTTGATCTTGCTCGAAGGATCCGGTCATAACTATCAGGATCCAGGTCCTCCAGTTCATGGAAAGTCATTCCTCCTCCCCAGGAGTCAGTGAGACCAGCACAGACCTTGCAGCAACCACAGATGGAGCAACCTGAGTCACCTGAACCACACCCACAATCCCTGAGGGAGGGGGGAGAGAGAAAGAAGGGGAGAGGAGTGGGGAAAGAACAGGAAACAGTAATATCACTAAGTGTGTTCATGAAAAGATACTAATAAGTAATAATCATAATAAATGTGTAATCATAGGAATGTTAGTAAGGGCGGGACCAGTATAAAGTCCCTCCAAAAATTGTTAACAGATATAAGATATATCGATACTAGTTTCCATCAGGCTCATAATGATATACTGTACATGTAGTTTCTTTATATACCCACAAAACATGGTGAGGCTATTGTGGGTCGCACTATTATGTAAAGTGGGAGGGACACACACTAAACTAGGTAACCCACAATAGCCTCAACATGTTTTGTGGGTATATAAAGGAAACTAAGGAACAGTCTACTTAATCTATCTTTCTAATACCTGAGTACTAACAATTTTTGAAGGGACAAGTCCTACTTTGTGGAACTAGTCCCATCTTTCATTCTTATAATATGTCCTTTTAAAAAATAATGCCATTTCAAAATTGCAATGTCTTGTCCAGCAAAGGACATTATCCTATAGTGGCCGAAATTTTGTACTTGAAATTTAAATACAAATATTATGCCATTTTCACCCATTTTGTGCATGCTCAATGTCATGTGGCCACAAATTTACCAAATTAAAATCCGCCAATCACCAAAATTTAGCCATTTGATAAATTTAATTCACTCCAAAATTTCCCACTATACGGTATAATTGTAAAGCCTGAAACTTTGGTAGACGATACCGTACAAGATAATTTATTGGCAAGGAGTTAATATTGGCAATTATATGAAGAAATTATCAATATAAAATCCGCCATTTTGTTTCAATCTGAGCATGTTCAATGGCACATGGCACAACAGTGGCGGAGCTGAACCTGGGCCCACACGGGCCTAGGCCCGGGCATCAAAGCTCTGTAATGAGATTCATTAGATGCAATGTAAACAATTCTGC